GAGCAATAAAATAGAACTGTTTAGCAAGCTGTTATACTGGTAAATGTCTTCTCACTGACAAACAAAAGTTCATAAAAAATCAGTAATGAACAGTATAACATTTGTTTAACTATACACTCCTTGTTTAAGGGTTTGTAATTGCCGAGCACTTGCTGCAATATAGGCAGGCTGAAACATAAATACAAATTTACCCCAATCAATTTCAATTCATCTTCACCTTTAGCTAAGGAAATTAAATGTATTTACTTGAAATTGCTTTTTATCTGTAGGCAGTTACTTTCCTTTTTTCAGCACGAGAATGACACCTTCGTGGTCTACCATACTTGTCTCGAAGCATTACCACTTTTGCAGGTACTTATTAGGTAGGGCAACTTTCCCAAAGCCTATGTGCACCTCAAGAATCTGTTGCTCGGTCAAGTAAAGTGTTCCAGCCCAAATTCCTGTTAATTAGTGTTTCGGATTTAGGACCACTTTTGGAATTTTTTAACCCTATTGTAGCACCCTCCTAGATAGCTAGGGGGAGATAGAGTCCAATTGTTAGACAGGCTGAGTAATATAGGTCAAATTCAGGTCAGGGCTGAGAGGCTCTGCAGACCAGCTATCTGGAACTTCCCCCTGCTCCAGAATTTTGGAGAAGATTCTAGATGCAGTGAGAGGGAATGAGGAGTGGTTGGTCTGCACTCTCAAGGGATCCTGGCCAATCCCCAACAGAAGGCTTGGCATGGGGCCAGGACAGCTCTTAAGAGTGACTGAGCCTGCTCAGCATGGGGAGAGTTCAGGTGGAAGATGGAGAAGTGAGAGGCTGGAGAGCAAGAGCCTGGGAGGGGGCCCAGATGGGAAGGGTCCCACCTAAAGGCAGAGGAGCAAGAAAGGAGGAAAGCTCAGGACCTCATCGGCCCCCAAATCAAGGACCACTTATGCAACAAGGAAGGAAGGCTTGAGAGGAAGCACCAAGCAGCTGATAGAAGGACTGTGTGAGTAGACCTGCACCACCTGGGCCAGTGGAAGGAGCACTCTGGTGGGAAACTGGATTAGCTGCTATCTGGGGTGTTTTTCTCTTAAAGTGACAGGTACTGGATCCCCTGCCCAGGGATTCATTCAGAACAGCTGGTTAGAGGAGTATCTAGGGTCTGGGGTGGTACAACAGAAGATGCTGGCTAGTTCTCCAGAAGAGGATTTTGTGTATAGTTCCAGGAAGTTTTTCCTCTGTTGCCATTCCTTTGAGCATCCCATACACCCCTTACCCCATCCAAGTTTAAATTCCTCTAATAAAATCTGAAAAAACTGGAGAACACATCGACACTTATTATTCGATTGATGGTCTATCATGGGTTGTTTTGTATCGAACCTTTTACTGATCTTGTGGTTGTTCTGCCGATATTATTATCTACCTCTTTCATGTACTGTTTTTTTTTTTTTATACTTTCATGACTGTAGTTTGTATCTGTTCATTTCTTTCTCATATGTTTTTTTTCAAACTGTTTATTCTACCTTACTAAATGGTGCAGTTTTTGTAGTCTATCTCCTAATAAAAAATAAAATCTGAAAAAACAAGCTCAAGGATTGGTTATTGTCTCCTGGAAGTAAGTCTGTTTGGAAAATGTGTATTGCCTGGCTGTGCAGGACTATAGGGGGACCCAAAACTTCAGCAATTCCTACAGGGGTAGTGCTACACTACTTTAAGCCTGTGTGTTCCACAAACCCTTTAGTGTAAGTTGCAACTGTTCTTTTTTCATTGCTTACTCCTGACATCTGCTCTACAGTGCATTACTTAAAGTAGAAGCACAGCCAAAGCTCATTTGGCTGTACTTCTCTTGCGGATCACAGGAGTGAAGTTCATTCTGCACTTCTGTGGCCCATTTTCAGCTGACAACAGGCTGAAGCCCACTGTCGGCTGACATAACAGAGCCAGTCTAGGCTGGGGTAGGACCACGACTATATGGTCAAATCTATCTAGGAGCAGCTTACTAATTTTATTTATTTCAGGTACTTATATAGCATCGCCAATTTACGCAGTGCTTTACATATATATTGTCCATTCACATCAGTCCCTAACCCTCAAGGAGCATACAATCTAAGGTTCCTAACTCACATTCATACATACACACACTAGGGCCAATTTAGCAGGAGCCAATGAACCTACCAGCATGTCTTTAGAGTCCTTAGATGTGGAGGTTGCATTGGGCTTTTTTCCCTCTGTTTTCACCTGGTGATCCAATCATAACACACTTCCTTTATTAGAGTGCCTCCACTCTGGATGAAGGAGCAACAGACACCTTTGGATAGCAGAATTGCCATTCTGGGGGGAGGGGAGTGTTACGTGTATACTTACAAATTGAAGCCAAACTGCATCTAACACTTTTCAAGCAGTTACAGCAAAATGTATTTTTCCTTTTTGGGTTAAAGCTTTGACCACCAGGTGAAAATAAATAAAAAGCCTAAAAAAGCAAACTAATGCAGCCACCACATCTAATTGGTAAGCTGCAATATATTAAATGCTTGCTTTTGGGTTTATTACCTGTTTTATTTTCCCTATTAAGCCTCTCCCACTGTTACAGCAACTTTCCACACTCACAGTTCACAGCAGTGCGCTACACATATGCAACATCTTTTCTCTACTCATAGCCTCCGAGGCGTTTTGTCTTTATACCTTGAATTTCTGCCTCTTGTTAAAAGTCTATGACCGATTGCTTTAGGGAGTGTTAAAAATAGGGGTCATCATTTTGTGAGTGTGGCTACAAATCATGGGGTGTGACTTTGCCAAGTGTGGTTAAAAAAGGCATGGTCAATACAGAGTCCCCAGATTTTAAAATCTAGTAATCTTAAAGCGGAGTTCCACCCAATAGGGGAAGTTCCACTTTCAAAAATCGGTGCCCCGCTCCCCATTACGGATTGGCACCTTTGGGGAGTGTGGGGGAACGGGTACCCAAATTTGACAGGTACTCGCTCCCACTTCCGCTGCGATCGCCTAGGCGATCGGAAACGAAAGTTGTCCTCCTGCTCTCCCTCCCCGAAGTCTTGTGGGACACATGACAGGTCCCAGAAGATGACGGGGCCATTCAGGAAGCGCAGCGCTACTCAGGCATGCACAGTGGGCACCTGGATGTGAAGCCGCAAGCTGTCACAGCTGGGTGCCCACACTGAAGATGTCGGCGCCAGGAATACAGGACGGCTGGTGAAATGGGCAACGTGGGATCGTGGGACAGGTGAGTGGCTGTTTTTTAAAAGTCAGCAGCTACAGTTTTTGTAGCTGCTGACTTTTATTTTTTTACAGAGTGAATGGAACTCTGCTTTAAAGTGACAATAGGCTCCTCCCTTCTTCTGGTACTTCCTGTAGCAATCCGGGTGCTAAGGAGACACCCATACATGCACGCTCCCATCGGGTGCTATGCTGAGCTCTGTGCGTCCATAGACACACACTGTGGGAGTAAGCCATGACCTCACTTCTTCGTTACAGGAGTTTGACTGAAAGCAACAGGAACCTATGGCATCGCTTGCCTCAATTTCTCCTGTGAAAGCAGGAAGTGAGGGGAGTGACACTGGAGCCAAAGACAGTGCTGGAGCGGTGATATGGAACCAGGTAAGTGTTTAGGGATGGGGGGGGGTGGTGGTGGTAGGAAAGGTAGAAGAGTGTTTTTTACCCAGAATGCATTAAAAGTAAAAAACATTTCGGTTTTAGAACTACTTTAAGTTAACAGGCAACTCTATTGTTCCTAGCAATCTTGTACATGATCCTCGTGGAAACATGATGATACAGTAGAGATTAGAAGTGCCACTCCACTTAGAAATGTCCAGAACAGGATTTTATTTATATTCACCATGAAAAGCCAAAACCTTTCATGAGGTTGCTAAGCCCCCTCCCTCTTCTATAGGTTAGCTGAGTTTGAGGCTTATTTTCAATCAAGTACGGCTGCCGAATTTTTTACTGGACATTTTTAAGTGGAGCTTTTATTTTCTATCTCTCGTGTTTCATTTTGCAGTTTGACATTGGGCCTGAAAATTAGGATCACAAACTGTTGCACATTCTTTTTTGTTACTACAAGGTTAATTCATGTCCATGTTCTACCAGTAACTGCTACATTAATCATCTGCCCTTACTCAAGAAGGCCACTGCCAAAAATTGTCAGGAGTTGTTTTTTCAAATGATCTCTCAGCAAAATAAAGCATGGAGACACGGATGGATGGAGGAGTTTGTTTTGAATATTAAAAATGAATTAAATAGCATTTTTGGTTTGTGGTACTCAGGTGCAGTGCAGTTCCACTTTAATTCATATTTGTGCTCTTAAAGTAGTTTTTGTTAGCTCAGATAGAGTACATTACCACAGGGAACTAGAACAGTATCAAATATGTATATTGTACTGTTGTATGTAACAACGTGGCCATTCCATCACCCCTTTGTGTCCATAATTCATATCTCCTTAAAAGCCTTCAGTGAATCTTTAAAATCACTTTTGTTTGTTGCTGCTAAAAGGAAAGAGTTTCAAATATAGCACAATGGTTTGAATTGTGTGTTGATTTCCGTAAATCATGATCATACACTACTGTACAAATACATGCATATGTGTAGAAAATGGATCATTATAAATGACAGAGATGGACTGTCATTTATTTCACATAAAGATTAGCGATGTTTACATTTTGTTACAAATTTAGTGATGCAGAAGAATGTTACTTTTTTTGGATGCATCACTAGGCAAATCATAACCATTCCATACTCTTCCTAAAACTATCAAAGAATTATTGCTATATATACACACACATTAATTGTGTGATGTTCTATGGATTAGACAAAATTTCCATGCAAATATTGAGGCTTATAATAAACTAGCAATTTAGTGATTCTCTTGACTTGAGCTCACTATACTAGATATGAATGTAACTTACATAACATCTTAGTGACCTGTCTCCTTCGGCTTTTCTCTTGCTGTAGTCTAACATTTTGGTAACTATCTCCATCTCCACCGGATTTAGCTTCTAAGACTTGAAGCATCTTCTCCTTCTTAAGTTGGAGACCGATGAGCAAATACAGGACGCTTATGGTACACATTGGTAGGAAAAAAGAAAAAAATGGTGGTAATCTGAATAACAAGATTGTAAATCCACCTAGGACGAACCAAAGTGCATATGGCAGAATTAGGTATTGTTCCATAACCAATTATATACAAGTTGTGAATACCAATAAGGCTGGTATTGGGTACGGAACACAGTATAGACAAAACCCAGACAGAGATGATGACTCTCTTGGCATGGTTCCTTGTCACAACATACTTAGCACGAAGAGGATGAACCACCGCTATATACCTTTCCACACTGAGTGCCGTTACATTCAGGATGGAAGCAAAGCAAACTGTCTCGAATAGCAGAGTTTTGAATGAGCATCCACCTTTCCCAAAAAGAAATGGATAATTACTCCAGAGTTCATAAAGTTCCAAAGGCATTCCCAAAAGTAGAACCAACAAATCTGAGATGGCAAGACTAAAAAGGTAGTAGTTTGTAGGAGTTCTCATAATCTTGTGTTTGATAATCACAATGCAAGTTAAAGTATTTCCAATGGCACCAACTGTAAAGATAATCAGGTAGATTATGCAAATTGGAGTGAAATAGTTGGATGTACGGGGTCCCAGGTACTTGAAGAGCAGTTCCTCCAGTGTTAGATTACATTCCGATGGGTTTATATCACAAAATCCCATGCTGTGGTTTATTATAGTTTGGTTGTAGCTATCAATGTTATCAAGACTGCGAGGAACGTCTTTGTGATGCTGAGGAAGTTCCAAATTAGAGTAATCGTTCGTGGCCATCTTTGAGCACAATATAGGAAATAAAGGCAAACCTATGAAGAGAAGCAAAGAAAATTTGGATATACCAGCTTTTGTTTTCATGGTGAGGGTGTTGTATGTTCTGCAATGCAGAGGAGTCATAGGCAGATCTGGGATTTCTTTTTTGGAGGCACAGTATATTTTAAAGACATTATAATTATAAAAGGAAGGACTGATGCCAATTTTAAGTACCTCCGTGTTTTTTATTTCTTAGCACACGCATGTTATTGGTATATCTTGAAAACGTAAGGTGATATTGGAATTGTTTTAATTAATAATTATTTAATTTCAATTAAACTGAAAACATCTGTTTTGGGTATCCCAGTGAATCGTGTCATAAAAGAAAATACTGCCTATGACTCTTCTAATTAAATACTTTTTTGCACTAAAAATTATACTGTGTTTATGTGTCCTGCAGAAATGTTTTTTTGCCTGTGTATGTTACATACAGCTCATGATATTGCTTGCCATGCTACTGCTCCTTAATAGCTTCTGGTTCCTTGTCATGTTAAATGAGAGAAACTGCTACATTTCATTAGTCTCTGCTGCAGATGAGAATGTGCCAAGTGGATGTTCAGTGTATTGTATCCGTGGTGTGTTAAATTGTAAAGCTTATTCCATCACATCAGTACATGTCATCAACAAACTCTTTACAATGCGTGTCAGAAATGAGATTTCATACCTTTTGATCTTCCTGTCCGCTGTACGTTTTTCTTGTATTTCTCTTCACTTTCAGACGTTGATGACCCTGCAGTACGACTTTCTTTTAACCCTTAACTAATATATCACTGACAGCTTGATAGTTGATAAAATGTGATCTACATACAGGGGAAAAAGAACATAAGTTATACTTTTAATAGCAGAAAGCAGTAATTATTTGCATAATAACTGCAAAACATAAAAAGTAGTAAAGTTAAAGTAAAGGCTCAAGGTTTCTACCTTCATGCTTTCTATGCATGGAGGTAAAAAACCTTCTTGGTGCAGCAGCTCCCCCAGCCCCCTCAATACTTACCTGAGCCTCATAGCAATCAAGCGATGTGAATGACAGCTTCGGCTGTCCCGAGTCTCTGCCTCCTCACTGGCTAAGACAGCAAGTGGGAGCCACTGGCTCCCGCTGCTGTCAATCACAGCCAGTCAGCCAATGAGGAGAGAAGGGGGTGGGGCCAAGTCACGGCTCCGTGTGTGAATAGACACACAAAGCAGTGGGTGCCCCCATAGCAAACTGCTTGCTGTGGGGGCATCTGACAGGAGCCAGGAGAGCCTGCGGAGGACCTGACAAGAGGAGGACCCAGGCTTCTCTGTGCAAAACCACTGCACACAGCAGGTAAGTATAGACATGTTTGTTATTTTACAAAAAAAAAGAACCTTCAGAATCCCTTTAATATGAGACACTGGCCATAATTTCCAAAAGATTTGTGTGCAACCCCTGGCAAAAAGTATGGAATCACCACTATAGGAAAATGTTCATTCAATTGTTTATTTGCGTAGAAAAAAAACAAATCACAGACATGCCTCAAAACTGTTTTCATTTAACATTCCACCCTTGTGGCTTTAAGAAACACTTAAAAAATAAAAAAGAAAGAAAACTATAGTCAACTGCAACTGTTTTTGCAGATCAAGCAGAGGAAAAAAATATACACAAGACAATTGAATGAACATTTTCCAAGAGTGGTGATTCCATACTTTTTGCCAGGGGTTGTATAAGCTTTGTATTTGAAAAAAAAAAAATCCACCTGCTCCGCAAGAACTCGCAGGTGCACAAAACCACTAGTGATGAGTCCAATCATAAATGTGAAATGCCTTACCAGTTCACATGGTGTATGTAGAATATCTCTGGTTGCCATAAATGGAAGCAATCATATTAAAGCTGTATTTACAGCAGAAATTGTTATTTTTCTACACTTACATATACTTTTTTTTTGTCAGTGAAACATTGGTTTTGACATATACACCTTCCACAACTTCTTCCTTATTGGCAGAATATGGTATACTCCATGATTTGTGGATAGATCCTCAAATAACTTTAACAGGTCACATCACTGGTCTCTCCTCAGAAAAATGTGATTATTTTTTGTATTGAAATTCCCAATTATTATTTTGTTACTCCATCAGTTTTTGATTATTTAAACCAGCAAAGTACAATCTATATTTTTCATCCCATTCCTACAATCAAGATCATAGTGTTGAGCCTGTGTAGCCCCATTGACTCCTTTCAATTTCAGGCAGCGGAGAGAGCTCTGAAGTGCTTGGGCAGATTGTTTGATATTTTTCTCCAAAAACTACAATCATTTTGTTGTTTTTTTACAGCAGCATCAGTTCTAAAGTTGCTTTTTAAATAAACCCCTAAGAGGAATCTTTCTAAAGCAACCTACCAACTGTTTACAAAAGGTCAGCAGAAAATAGTATTTGTTTTACTCACTGTAAAATCCACAGTTTTTCTTTAGATCATATAACTGCTGGGTACAGTACCACAACAAAAGACAGCCCAGGGGGGCAATCCCTGAATGTGGCTAACCCCCACTTCTCACATTGTGGAGAAATGTATTTAAAGCTGAAGTATGGCCAAAACCTTTTGTACATTTGCACAATAATTTTAAGCTACCTCTAATGAAGCATGACCTGTCTCTGGCTCCTGTAACTTATGTTAAAAGTCTTATTTATGACAGCCTATAGACCAGGGATCCTGAGTCCAACAATGCTTCTCAAACATACTTCAAGCTCTGTATCATCCGCTCTGCCACCCTACAGAAAATCTCTGTCTAAAGTCCCAATTGTCCACCCAAGACACCATCTAGAAGCTGAGGCCTGCAAGGCAGAAAATGAGATCTGCGTTCAGCTGGCCTGTCAGATGTGCCCCTCAGGTTAAAAAAAACCCACAGGCTGCCCACAAGGAAACTGTGCCAAACCTGCAGGAGCAAAGAAATAAATGCATGCATGAAAAGCGGGTGACCAGAGTGTGATTCATAACATTTTTAGTGGTTCCAGAATCCACAAAGGTCAGTAGCTCATGAGCCTCAGCCTCATAGTGGATAACAACTGTGATCTTTAAGTGATTGTCCATTTCACGATCGCCTAGGGTCCTGGAATTTCCCAGATGTCGGGGCAAGAGTGTCCATTCACAATACAAACAGTCCCATATCATAAGTGTGTTCCTGAGCAGAGAAATGGCTACTTAGGATCCCCTGACACTGGAAGGGGAGGAATTGGATGTCAAGGAAGGCACACATTTCAACGTAGCTGTGCCAATATCCAATCTCCTCTTTTGCTGATATGGTCAATTTCATGGCCTCTTCCAGTGACATTGGGTACAGGTAGTTTACCAAACCTCCTGTAATGGCTTTGAATAGGCCAGGTCAGAATTGGTTTTGGAGCGATGCTTCATTTTATCAGGATTCTGGGGCCCACCTGCAAAACTCTAAACAATATATGTCAGCGGACTTGACCCCTTGCTGTATGCTAAGTAGGACTGATTGAGCAGCAGCAGCATAATCTGGATCATCATATAGCAAACCCTGGGCTTCAAAGAAGACATCTACTGTTACCAGGGCCAGATGGTTTGGTTCCAGGCTAAAGTCTAGACAAGCTAGGTAAACACGAGTAGATCAGAGTCCAAATGGTACACAATCACAGAGGAGAGAGCAGGGTTAGAGCAAGCAGGGTCATACATGGTAATACATAGAGAAAATACAAGCTGGGTCAAGCAAGGGAACACTAGGTAGCATCTGCTATTAGGAGCACTGGTGGCATGTGCGACAGGCGCTTTAAACAAGGACAACAGGGAGCTGGTCAATCGCCATCACTTCCAGATAAGATGTGTCTCAGGTGGGCTTTGTTCAGTCTTAAAGGGAGCCTGAATCCTGGTTCTGACACCCATGTGCCAGAGCATTGATGTTTCACAGTTATGGACAGATGCACATTTAACAAAGAATGGAGTCATTGTAGCATGGGCAAGCAGAAAGGATGTGGTCAGATTGCAGGCTCACTACCTTGATATGATATTGATATTACCATACTCATGGCCACTTTTCCATCTTGCCTTCTGTCATGATTCAGGTCTGTTTTTCATATTTTCCGACTAAAAGGTACTGCAATTTACATCTATAAGATGTAATGTATATCACTTTCCTAAGTCCATGACTGCTAATCTTCTGTTTGAAAAGCAACCAGTTCACATACAAATTCTTCTTTAAGAAGTCAACTGCTATTACATAACTGGCAAATTTTCGGAAGCTGAAGGCACACTCCAAACTATTGACATAAATCTGGCTACTCCACTCCGAGCTGCAAAGCCGTATCATCAACAGCCATAAACAGCTTCATAAATACACACATAGCCATGTGAGACATAGTGCAACCTTGTTGGATTTACAACAGCAATAGTAAATCAGACCTATTTCTTTTGATCCTATTGTTAGTGGCTACATTGATCAGGTTGTTTTAACAGCTGTGCCTTATTTTCTGAACTTTACAGCATGTGAACAGAAAATATCTGTACACTGCAAATAAAAAAAAATTGGTATATATTTGACTGTAATTTATCCTATTTTATCCTTCACAATACCTGCATTTATGCACTTATCTATATGGCAGTCTGTGATCCTGGTGCACAGCAAGCAGCCCATTCACCATCTCTTGTAGCATGCCCATTTTCTCTGACCATCACCTGTAGCATGCCCGATGTCTCTGAGCCATCTCTTGTAGCACGCCCATTTTATCTGACCATCTTATATGGCAAGCCTATAGTCTCGGAACTTCTCTTGTAGCATGCTCATTGTCTCCGACCATCTCTTGCAGCATGCCCATATTCTAGCATGCCCATATTCTATGACCATCTCTTGTAGCATGTCCATACTCTCTGGCCATCTCTTGTAGCA